GGCGCCCGCACACTGCGGGTGCTGGGTCTCGGCTCCCCTCGCCTTCCTCTGCTTCTGGGTGTGCGTGTGGCCGGGGTGCGGCAAGAGCCCGGAGGGTGGGACCAGACCGGGCGCCGCTAAACAGGTGTCCGGGGTCGGAGCCGGGGCGGAGCGGGGTCCGGGCTCCGCGGGGAGGCGCGAGGCACTTCCTGCACCCGGCGTCCCGGGGAGCTGCCGTGGGTGCCCACGGAGCCGCCACCGCCTCGTCGGGGAGCAGCGCCCGGGCGCGGGCTGCGCCCCGGGGCTCCGGCCAGACCCCTTGGCGGCGGTCGCGGCCCGCTGCCCGCCCACCGCGTGCCCTCCGGGGCCGCCTCCGGAGCTGCGGGTCCGGTCGGGTCGAGCTGGGCGCTGCCGCCGCCGGGGGCACCTTCCCCGAGAGCCTCGGGCTGCCGCGCCGTCCGAGCCGGGTCCGGTGAGCGAGAGTCTTCCTGAAGCGCCCGCAGACTTGCTACGGGCTTGCTGGGATCATCAGGTCTGCCTGGCGCCCTTTTCGTGTTTCTGCGACACCCCCCACCCCCACCCCCTACCCCCCAGTTTCGTTGCTGCTGGTAGAGCGAGCAAGCCTGGTGTGTCAGGGCTCTTACTGCTGGACAGAGGAAAGGGGTTCTCAACTCAAACCTTGCCGGACACCCCCACCCCCACAAAGTGCGATGGCACTAGTAGGTACTGGCTCACAGTTGCTTTAAATTGGGGTCAAGTGTGCACTTTTGAAAAATAACCAGAATTTAGGAGAAGATTTGCCCTTGCTTCCATGAGTCAGAATCGACTAGAAGACATTGGGTTTGGCTCTAGGATTCACCCCTTCCTGTGTAATAATTAGGGTCGAGGTGGGCGCTTGTTGAATCATTGGGAAAAGTTGATCAGACTTATAATCTAGTTCTCAGAATGTATTGTAAGTGTCGCCACCTTTCCTTTTTACGTTTTTAAGATCGAGGAGTATTGTGCTAACCAGGAATTGATTTCCTTGTGGGTTAAGAAGCTCGATAGAAATTCGATGCACCTTATCTCGCTGTTGTGGAGTCAGTTCTGAGTCATAGCGACTCTAGAATAGAGGAGAACTTCCCCTGTGGGTTTTCCGGACTATAACCTTTTACATGAGTAGAAAGGCTTTCTCAGGCCATCAGAGGAATAATTAGGCCCAATGTGTAAGGGTCAGAAATATGTTCACTTCCTAACAATTGCGCATCGAACTAGCACTGCCTGGTGCCAGGGAACGGTGTACATAATTTCATGTTGCATAAATCTGGTATAGGTTTAAACAGAGGGAAACTTGTGGTTTTAAAAATTTAGGTGACAACTTGCCATTTTGTATATTTATACTGTGAGCATTTTGTTGATAGTAAGCTGCACTTAGTTCCTGCCAGCCGTATCTGTTGAAGGAGTGCCTGTGGCTCGGTAGTTAAAAGTGCTCAGCTGCTACCCGAAAACCAGTCACCCTCCAAGAGAACCATTGAAGCCGGCAGATGCCGCTATCATAGAGAACAGCCTGCCAAACCTTGGGGCAGTTCTCTCTCCTGGTGGCTCACTGTGGCTACTGTGCTCTCAAAGGCTGTAGCTTTGGTTTTGGTGAGCATGTTCATGTACAATTTAAGGGACTATAAAGTTCCAGGTTACTAAACAGTTAGCTTTTTCACTGTATGTTGTGAAACAATAATTTCGTAAGGAAAGTATAGTATGACTCCAGATTCGTCATAAGAAAATAGTATGGTTTTAGAGTGTCTGTGGCATAGTATTAATTGCCTATATTCAATTTGTATTTTCGGTATCTTTTTACTTAGGGCTCGGTATTTTAAAATAATCTGTGGTCACCACCCATTTAGAGATGGTTATGCTCTGATGTTTGTTGATTTAAAACTACTAGGGTCTATTTTGGTTTGTTTTGGGTTTTTTTTAAATCATTTTATTGGGGGCTCTTACAAATCTTAATAGCAATCCATCCTTCAGGTGTATTAAGCACACTTGTACATATGTTGCCAGCATCATTTCCAAAACCTTTCTACGTGAGCCCTTGGTATCAGCTCCTCTTTTTTCCCATCCCTCCCCTTCCCTCATGGATCCTCCATCACTTATCTATTATTCTTGTTTCGTGTTGTTTCATGTCTTACACGGTCCACTGTCCGTTACCTCCCTTCACCCACATTTCTGTTATTCGTTCCCAGGGGGGGAGGGGCTATACATCCAACCTTGTGATGGGTTCCCCCTTTCTCCTCCCCCCCTCTCCTACCATCCCTTTAGTCTCATGATATTACTACTCCCACTACTGTACCTGAGGGTTTAATCAGTCCTGAATTCCATGTGTTGAGAGCTCTTATCTGTACCAATGTGTGTACTCTAGTTTAGCCAGATTTGTAAGGTAGAACTAGGTCATGGTAGTGGGGGGAGGTGGGGAGCATTCAGGAACTAGAGGAATGATGTGTGTTTCATCCATGCTATACTGCACCGTGGTTGAATCGTCCCTTCCTTGTAACCCTTCTGTGGGGGGATGTGCAATTGTCTACAGATGTGTTTTGGGTCTCCACTCCAACCCCTCTCACATCCATATAATTGTTTTGGATCTTTTGATACTTGATCCTATTGACACCTCATAATCACACAGACTGGTATGCTTCTTCCATGTGGGCTTTGTTGCTAGATAGCTGCTTGTTTATTTTCAAGCCCATAAGACCCCAGATGCTCTATCTTTTGCTAGCTGGACACCATCAGCATTCTTCAACACATTTGCTTATGCGCCCATTTTGTCTTCAGTGATCATGTCAGGAGTGCCAAGCTATTAGAACAAAGTGTTCTTATGTTTAGGGAGGCCTTGAGTAGAGACCCAAAGTCTGTCTGCTTTCCTAATACTTAGCATGTAAATATGTGTACATTGGCTTTTATCCCTTGCATTAGAAATTAATATATTGACATATATACAGGCCTATAGCATTTGTCTACTATTTCCTCTATTTCCTTTCACCTTCCTCCAGCCCCACTATCATGCTCACCCTCCACTCGGCTCTCAGTACCTCCTCCTGGATACATTGCACTTGATCAAACCCCACCAAGCATTCTATGTGCTCCTCACCATCAATTTTAGATCTCTTGTTCCCTTATCCCTGAGTCTGTTGTCTCCGCGCCCCCTCTTCTGCCATGTCGCCCAGGACTGCCCATCCCATTTTCTCCTCGCGATTGTTTGTCTTGCCTATCTTAAATAATAGACATAGGGTGAATAAATAAATAAATAAAAACGATAGACAGTTCCAGGTCCATTTACTGACCTTTATGAGTGTTTTCCAATCAGGTTGAGGTGCCAAGCACTAGGGTCTATTTTTGAGTAAATTTAATACCCATATATTCTTAAGAATTTTATCACAAACTTGTTTTGGCGTGCATATAACTAATTCACACTGACCTAGTCATAGAAATATTAAACTGAGATTGGGCATATGCTATGTCCTGTTTGTATGTTGGTTTATGCTTGCTAAGGTGAAGATTACATTTTATGACGTAGGAACTTAAGAAACTATAGCTGTTTAGTCTTAGTATTGTGGAGTTCTTGCAGTTCTAAATAAACATTAACGAGATAATGGGAAACACAGTACTAAAGTGCAATTCAAATTCAAGTTTCCAGAAAGTGGATTACTGCCACTTTAAAGCCAGCCTTCAAAAGATTTGCGTTGCGTAAAGAGGCTAGTGTGTAGACTATACCAAAGATGAAAGAAAGGTATGATAAATTTCTTTTTACCTGGAATTCAGTATGATCCAGTACATTCTTTTAAAAGAAGGGGAGGGGGGACTGCTTCATAAAGAGGGAAGTTAGCATTTTGCCAAAAATCAAGTTAGAAGAATCCTAATGTGCACTTAAAATATTCATTTTCATTTTACAACTGGTGGGGGACAAAAGAGACCCACAAATTTAAAATATAATGTGTAGAGGACATTTATTAAGTCTTAAACAGGATAAAGGCCAAGACACATCATCTGGATGAAGGAGACCATCAACAGGAAGCTATAAGGACATCCAAGGATTTACAGAGAGCCTGTGGCTTAAATCGGACAGGAAACTGTCACAGAAACATGGCAGGCCACAGATTAGCACCTCACAGTGGAGGCAGGCAGGACTACACACGAGCTGAGAAGGTTCCTGGCCCTCAGACCATGGCAGTCAGGGTATGACCCTGTGGCTATGGGCCCTAGTACCCCTGTTCCCATTTAAACCCTCCTTTCCTGAACTGGTTATAGGAGTGGCAGTAGTCCACTTTCAAACACATTCTGCTTTAATCAAGTTGCCTGTTAAAAGGTCAGAAATTCATTGGAGCTGGCATCCTCATGGAGAGTCCAAATGGGCTTTAGGCTTTCGCTGAAAACAGTACCCTTCTGCAAAACATAGCACTCAGACATAGCAAAGGCTCCTTTGAGAAGGAAATATAAAGAATTTTGCATTTGTGACTTTAGGAAACCCATAAAAATATAGATCCCTGTGTTAGTCAGGGGTGACTAGAGAAACAAATTCATAGACACTCGTGTATAAGAAAGAGGGTTATATAAAAAAAGCAATTGTATATTGAGAAAATAGCCCGGTCCAGATCAAGTCCATAAGTCTGATATTGGCCCATATGTCTAATACTAGTCCATAAGTTCTCCTTTAGATTCACTCGCAGCACATGCAATGATGCTGAATGCAGGAAGATCACAGGCCAGTGGGTGGAAGGTCTTGTGGATCCAGTGGCCATAGAAACATCTCAATGCTGGCACAGGTCTCCATGTGTCTCCTCCAGCTCTGAGTGCCTCAACATCAGGAAAGGGAAGGCAGAGAGTGTGCCCCACCTCCAGGGAGGAAGAAGATCCCCAGTGTCCTCAGGAGAAGGCCATGACTACACAGAGGCATGATTGGCTATGACCTGATTGACAGGCTAGACTCCACCCCTTCACCCAACTTGACAGGAGATTGTGTAACTGCCACAAACCCCAAAAGAAAATCTCATTAAGTTCACACATGTAGTACAGGCTACCAAGCACATTGTTGGAGAGCAGGGATAGCAATTAGTAAATTGAGATTCTGAAAGAGGAAACTTAATTAGTGTACAATGAAATTATATATAATTCTTTTAAACTGATGGAAACTGGATAATAGGCCTACTTGAAGTTATATACAATTTGGTGTGGTTATTTGCATACTTGGTTATAGGATTCAATTTATCTTATGCTAACCCCATTGCAATTGATTCCAAGGTATGTAAGACAGGATAGAAATACCCCATTGGCTTCCAAGACTGTCAATCTGCGGAGAAGCACACCTCCTCCTCTTTCTCCCACAGTGCTGCTGATGGGTTTGAGTCACTGACCTTCAGCTGGCAGCTGGGACCGTCACCCTTGTGCTAGCAGGGCTCCCTCTTCGTCCTGAACAGGTTTCCCTCCACAAAAGCTGAGCACGCCTATGAGATCTTTCATGTGCTGAAATGTAAAATGAAGAAGCAACAATCACTAATTTTTATTTTAAACAGTATTTTATTAAAATACTTATTTTTAGTATTTATCGTATTTTTAATTTACATTAATTTTAAAGAAGTCCCAGGCACACAGAACAGTAACATACCAAGTAATAGTAATACATAAAACCTTAAATAGCACTAAATGTGTAGTGCTCAGAGATACAGTTCAGAGCTATGCAGCTTGATGCTGGGAGAGCCACTGATCAAGATGGAAACAGTAAACACAATGAGTAAATCATATCTATAATATATTAGATGTGGGTAGTGCTATAGGGAAGCCCCACCCAGCCCACCCCTGCACTTCGCCCAAGTAAAGAACTGAAGTTAGAGGGTCAGTCTTGTTTGTATCTCCTTGGGATATGTTTCCAACAGAGAGCAACACGGAGTACAGAGGTAGAACACAGTAAGCAAAGAATGTAGGGTTAGGTGTTAGCCTGTGCAATTGCTGCTGTTCATCCACTTTTGAACTACAAAACACCAAGTATTACAAGGCGAAGTCGGAAACAAAGGAGTTAGGGGTGGGAAGACGGATTCTGTGAAAGTCATCGTAACGATTGGCGTTTCTTTCTGAGTAGATGGGGAAACCCTAGACTCTGGGGCCTAGAGGATTTTGAGAAATTGAACGATGTGATCTAAGTTTTAAAAGGAAGGATTATTTGGCCTCTTGTCAAAATAGACTGAAGAGGAAAAATAGTTTTTTTAATTAATTTTATTGGCATATACTTCATATTTCTTACAATTTATTCATCCAGTCATATTAAGAATTGTGCAATCGCCCCCACAATCAATTTCAGAACATATTCTGTACTTGTTAGCTCACCATTCCCACCCATCCTCCCCTACCATCCATCTAGGTATTATTAATCCAGTTACTGTCGCTATAGATTTACATCATACAAAACACAAACAGGAAGCAAACAAACACAACAACAACAAAACAATGGTAAAACACAGAAAAGCCTCAATGGAAAAGAAAGCAGAAAATACTAAAAACTGAAACAACTTCAAAATGGGTCAAAAGGGAGATAAAATGTTAAGGTATTTTATTTTAACCTAACCACATCTGCCACAATCAACTTGACAATGCTCTTTCTGCAAACAGATGTTCACAGTTTAAACATGGATACCATTTCCTTCTTCAGCTTTGGATTTTATTATTTTATAATCCTTGGATCACGCAAGCTGGTGTGAACTCTTGTTACTTCAGTCACTCAGTTTCCCTCCACAAAAGCAACTAATTTTACAACTTGTCTTTATAGATGTTCTATGAGTTATAAATTAATTGTAACAGGTTAATGGAATGGTTCTCAACTGGGCAAATTAGGCACCCCCGGGATATATGGCCCTGGCAGTACAATATTATAAATGCTCAGTTGTTAACGAAAATGTTGGCTGTTCATAGAAAAGCCTGCTTCCATAAAGATTACAGCTTTGGAAACTGGGGGCAGTTCTATCTTGTCCTCCAGGGTCACTGTATGTTAGAGTTTACTCTCTGGAAGTGGGTTGTGGGTTTGGAGATATTTTTGGTTGCCACAACTAGGAAGTCATGGTGCTGCTGTAGTGCATCTTGTGGGAACTGAGCGACTGGATGAGAATGTAAGTGGCCAGATCCTCTGTGCTCATAATTATGAGTTTGGGAAGCCAACTCCAGTGGGGGGAAACCCTCATGGTTATGAGATACAAATAAGTCGTAATACACATTTTCATGCCTGAAGCCAGTCCCTCCAGTAACACCCCCATAAGGAATTGTCATAAAGAAGCTACCATGAAAGATGTCTGATAACTGCTCTGGCTATTCACTGTGCCTGGAGGTTATGTGTAGGTGGGAGCAATCAGTTTCTGTAGCCTGACCCACAGTACAACGTAGCCAGACTTCTTATGACATCTCTTCCTGATAAGGATCATAGTTTGCTCTCCTGGGGAGGACTCCGGGGCACCCGAGGCCACCTAGCACTAGTTCAAGACAATGACTCATTTCATTTCCGTTTATTATGTTACCCGCTTATGGTATTACCCATTGACTATGTAACACGATCGCTGTATTACGTGTATGCCTTTGGAAAGATCTGTAAACCCTGTGATTATGTCTAGCCATTGGAAAATATACTCATTCTCTTGCTCCTGACATAGGGACAAGGAGCCCGTGTCCCAGTGTCTGTCTTATTTACCATAATCACAAAGTCGCTCCTGAGGACCCATTTGACTGTTGGTGGTTGATACCCACAGCATCTAGTGGGTGGAGCCAGGAATGCGGCTAAACACCTAACATCAATAAGACAAGTCAGTCCCCATAACAAAGAATGACCCAGGTCAACATGTCACTGGTACTTAAGTTGAAAAGTGTAGCTCAATGGGATTTATAAAGATTGCATAGATGGTAAAGGCAAGAGTGTAATGTAAACAAGAGAAGACAGAATAGAGGAACCAACTGCACTGGGCTGTTTAGGGAGCTACAGGTAGTTAAGATTGCTGAAGTATAAATTATTAGGCACTGGGTAGCAGCAGGGAGAACCTCTGTATGTATATCATGTTAATTAAAGATACTTCCAAAGGAGAGTTTGTGCTTCCAAAATACCTGCCATTGAAAACCCCATGGGAAAAAAAAACCCCACAAAAACAAACGAACAAAACCCTATGGAACACTATTCTACTCTGAGACAAGTGGACTCACCATGAGTAGTAATCACCTGGACCGCAGCTGGTTAGGAAGAACAGTTATGGCCTTTTACTTTTGCTGCTTTATGTTACTTTGTTATTTTATATCATCCTGCTTTTGTTTGTTTGTTTCTTACAGAAATACGCTTTCGGGAAATGGCCTCTAAATCTTGGCTGAATTTCTTAACATTCTTCTGTGGATCATTGTTCGGATATTTTATATGTTCTCAGCTATTTAGTATTTTCTTGGGAGAACAAGGTGACACCCAGCCTAGTATTCTTCACAATGATCCCCATGCTAGGCATTCAGATGACAGCGGACACGGGCATCTAGAAGGGCAGATGGACTTCAATGCAGATGTCAGCCAACATACAGGTATGATGTATTTTATTAAGAAGGTAGCATAAACAGTAATGTTTCAGTCTATGAAAGTGTTAGGAGAAACATTTAGGAACTAGAGGAAAGTTGTATTTCTCATCATTGTTACATCGCACCCTGACTGGCTCATCTCCCCCGAGACTCCTCTGCAAGGGGATCTCCAGTGGCCTACTAATGGGCTTTGGATCTCCACTCCGCACTCCCCCCATCA